TGCTTGCTAATGGGAGTCCTGCTGCACACCCACACTCTGCCAGGGTTGTATAAGAATGGCCTGGAGCCTCCGTCTGGGAGCTTTTGTCCCAGAGGAGGCAGGAGGGCGGCGTGGGTAGGAGCTCAGGCTTCCTGCCCAGGCATGAGTGCATGATCTCGGCAAGTTACTTCACCTCCTTGAGTCTGTTTCCTCGTCTGAACAAGGGAGCCACTGATATGGAGACGTCTACCTAATAAGGCAGCTGCTGAGCAAAATACCTGGCCGCAGTGAGCACCCTTTGCATTTTGTTGAGTGGGCCAAGGATAAGCCTGGTCCCTGGCAGGGTGCAGGATTCTGTCCTGAGATAGCTCCCCTCCTTTTCCCCCCATCTTCCAGCCCAAGGAGCCTTTCTGTCCTGGAGGCAGGAAACATTATCTCCTTCTGACCTGTGAGAAAACAGAGAGGAAGTTCAAGGCCACTGGGATGTGGAGTCTTTTGGCCCCTGACTCCTCAAGGGAAGGTATCTCAAACTCAAAGGCCGTTGGGGGTCAGCCAGGTGATTTAAATGTGGTTATAGAAAAATAGGTAGAGGTAGGGCCCCCAAGAGCTTAGATTCCTTAAAGGTATTTTAACTCCAAAGTTGTAGAGTTTTTGCTCTGCTCTCCAAGCCGTACCAACTCAGCAGCCTGGATTCGACCTTCGAGCCGCAAGTTTGAGCCCCCTGCACCTGTCTTTACTGCTTTTGCGCCGCACAGCATGCCCGCCCCTCCTCGCCCTCCTACCTGCATCCGACTAAGGACGACAAGCGCGTTCTCAGCAGCAGAAGTCTCCTGGGGTTGACTCTGTTGACAGCGATCCCTGATCAGTTCCTTGTTCTCCGAGAAGCCTGTGCCCTCTCAGCCAGCGTCATTCAGAGCAGTCTCGAACGGTTAGGCCCACGGGTGCCCTGCTCTGACACAGCACTCTTTTGCTCAGAAGCCTCCCCTGGCTAAAGCAGGCAGAGGAAAATCTCTCTTGGGAGCTCAGCTCACAGATCACCTCCTCCAAGAAGCATTCCCTGAATTCCTTGGCAGGACCAGGTCATCACCCTGCGTGCCTGTGCACCACAGTGCTTCTCAGAAGTAACTTTCACATCGCAACCCAGAGTCTAACCCAGTGTCTGACCCACAATGGGCACTCCATAAATAGGCACGAGATGGGTGAAGAAACTCGCCTGCTGTGTGACTTTGAATGAGTGACTTCACCTCTCTGAGTCTCTGTTTTCTTATCTGTAAAATGAGTTGTGATGAGGGAGCATTGACAGAAAGCATGGTGTGGCAGGTTGAAGAATGGTTCACAAAAAAACTCGGGTCCTACCCTAATCCCTGCAACCTGTGAATGTTCCTTACGTGGAAAAAAAAAAAGCGGGGGGCGAGGCGTGGTGGCTTCTGCCTGTAATCCTAGCACTCTGGGAGGCTGAGGTGGGAGGATCACTTGAGCTCAGGACTTCAAGACCAGCCTGAGGAAGAGTGAGACCCTGTCTCTACCAAAAATAGAAAAATTAGTCGGGCATGGTGGCACACGCCTGTAGTCCCAGCTACTCAGGAGGCTGAGGCAGGAGGATCACTTGAGCCCAGGAGTTTGAGGTTGCTGTGAGCTAGGCTGATACCATGGCACTCTAGCCCAGGTGATAGAAAGAGACTCCGTCTCAAACAAACAAAAAAAAAGATCCTTGCAGATGTGATTAAATTAAGGGTCTTCTTGAGATGGGAGATTATCCTGGGTTATCCAGAATGCACTCACAAGGGTCCTATGACAGGAGGCAGGAAGGGCCAAGGGAGGAAGTGGAACTGTGACAGTGAAACCAATCATTTGTTTTCTTGCCCTCTGCCAACTTCTGGAGGTCACCAAGGGGTCATGAGCCAGGAGCCTCCGAAGCCAGAAAAGGTCAGGAACAGAATCTCCCCTAGAGCCTCCAGAAGGCACCAGCCCTGCCAACAACTTGGTTGTAGCCCCGTGAACTCCTAACCTCTGGAACTGTAGAGAATGAGTATGTGTTATCTGAAGCCAGTAAATTTGTGGTGATTTGTTACAGCATCCCTAGGAATCTAATACCCATGGAAGGTAACTAGCACACAGTAGGTGCTCAAACATGGCAGTTACTTTGACCCCACGGGAACTCTCTCCGTTTGCACACACGTCCCTTCCCCTCTCAATTTCTGAGACAGCCACCCTCTTCTCAGCCTGGGCTCCCTTCCTGCCCGTCCTTCATGGCCTGGCTCAAAAGCCCCCTCTTCTCAGCCTTTGCTGCCATCCAGGAAGGCTAATCTGGAACAAAAGTGCCTCCTGAAACAGTGCTTGAGCCATGGCCCCCAAAGAGGCCTGTGAGCCTCCACCCCCAGCACTGAGCATGGGGCCCAATGTGTCCAGTCATGTAAATTTGATATCAATGTTTTTAAAACAAACAAAAAGCAAACAATACCAATTCCAAGGCCAGAAAATGGGCTCTGCTGGACTTGGGGTTCCAGCTGGCTTCCCTCCCTCTCTGGGAGAAGGGGCTAGTCTCTGGGACCCTGTGTGGGAAGGAGAAGTCCCCCAGGGAGGCCTCCTCATCTTGCCCCCATTGGGGTTCCTAGAGCCGGCCTTCCCTTAGGCTCTCCCTGAGAGCAGGTTACAGCAAGGCAGGGAGGGCAGGAGACCAGCTGCCGTGGGGTCTAGGGGGCCCTGGATGGATGAAAGGGACTGTTCCCATTTGTCTAGCTTCTCACCTGGAGTAGTGACAGCAGCTCCTGCATGCCAGGCTCTGGGTAAATGCTTTACACACATTACCCCAGGTAATCCTCTCAGCAACCCCATGAGGTAGGCATACTATTATACCCATTCTACAGGTGAGGAAACTGAGATTCAGTAAGTTAAGTGGTTTGCCCAAAGCCATCCAGCTGGGCAGAGAGGAGACAGATTTAGGAACCAAGTCTGTGTCCCCCAGAACCTATGTGCTTAAAACAACGTGGTCCACACTGCATCCACGTGGTCCAGCTCTGCCTTGCCCCTTGCACCGCTCTGGGAGACTGGTGGCCGAGCCTGGTGGAAGGGCTATGGGTGCCGGTCTTGGTTCTGTCATTGCAGCTTGAGAACCTGGACAGGTGACGTTACCACTCTGTGCCTCACTTTCCTCATCCACAAAATGTGATGAGCCTACCTCACAGGGGGGTTGCCAGGATCAAATAAGACACTGTATGAAAAGGGGTATAGTGTCTGACAGAATAAGGGCACCATACCTATCATAATACTTTATTTTACAGATGAGGAAACTGAGGTTTGAGAGAGGGGATTCACTTATCTCAGATCACCTGGGAGCTCTGACACCTTGGCCACCCACCCCCACCCCCACCCCAAAAGCAAATGGAGCAGGCTTCCATGGGGCTGTGGATGGGGTCCTGCCCACAGAGCCCAGAGGCTGGGTGGGATTGGAGGCTTCCCAAGCAGATGGCAGTGGGCTCCCACCTGAGCTGTGCTGAACAGAAGCCTTGGAGCTGCAATTGCTCAGGAGTAAGTTAATACGTTCATTCACTCACTCATTCATTCAACACTCCTCTGCTTAAAATCTGCCAAAGCCTTTCTTCCCATAGCACTAGAATTACCAACCAAATTCCTCACCAGGCCCTCTGCAGCCCTGCAGGCTCTGGCCTTCCACTGTGGCTCTGACTTCAGTCTGCCCACTACTTGTCTCCTTGCTCATGGCCTCCTCACAATTCCACTTACCAAGTTCTCTCCTGCCCCAGTGCCTCTGCACTTGCCATTCCCTCCATCACGAGTGCTCTTCCCAGCCAGGTGTGATGGCATGTACCTGTATACCTATAGTCCCAGCTACTCAGGAGGCTGAGGTGGGAGGATCACTTGAGGCCAGGAGTTCAAGTCCAGCCTGGGCAACATAGCGAGAATCCATCTCTAAAAAAATAAATAAAAAAGAAGAATGCTCTTCGCCAGCCTCTGTCCATGGCAGTTCCTTCCTGCTGTGCAGATCTTTGCACAAACAGGCCTCCTTCTCTCACCCCCAGCTAAGTAGCCCTATCCATCACTTCCCCTGCTAATTTTCTTCCTAGCACTTACTGCTCTCTAAAATTATCTTCTTTATGTATCTAAGCATTTGTTTGCTGTCTATCTCTTCCCACCAGGATGCCAGCTCTATGACAGCAGGGACCACATTGTCTCTGTGGATTCCTCAGCGCTCAGGAAGGTGCCAGGTGCCCAGCAAATGAAGAAATTTGTGTACAGCCTATGTAGTTTTGAAATCGAAAATGTTTTCAAACTGTAAATAGGTGGTCACAGGTGAGTGCTAGTGGTGGGGTGAGGGTGGGGGTCTGATCCCAGACTGGAAGCACCTGAGGGCAGGATGCCTGTCCAAATCCTCCGCCCGGGTTCCAGCCGCAATCCGGAGCCCCTTACCGCGGCGTCCCCAGGCGGGGGCGTTAGAGTCCTCGAGGGCTGCTCCGGGATCCCACAGCAAAGCCCCCTCCCCCCAGGCCGGCGGGCGGGGTACGCGCAGTGGGGCGCGCGGGCCGCCAGGGGGTGCTGTTGGGGCGCGCACGGTCCACTTGGCGCCCGGGCCACGAGCGAGCGTAGCCAGGCCGCCCGGGAACTTTTTTCCTCGCGCTCTCGCTCTCCTTCTCCCCCCGCGCGTCGCCCGCCCGCCCGCCGGTCCGCTCTTCCTGTGCGGAGGGGATCGCATTTCCCCGCGGCACCCGCGGACACCAGGCAGGCCCGGTGCGCGGACAGGGCCCGGTCCCCGCGCCGCCGGCTCCCCGCGCTCCCGGGCGCCGCCCCCGCTCGCGGCTGGGCTCTGAGAGGCGAGTTGGAGCGAGGCGGCGGCGAGGGCAAGAGGCGAGCCGAGCAGGACGCCCTGCCCGCGGCCCGAGCGCCGGCGCGAGGAGGGGGCGCTGCGGCCCACCCTCCTTCCTGCTTGGCCGCGGGCCGGCCGGGCCGCCTCACCCTGACCCCCATGGCCGCCCGGGCCTCCGGGCCGCGAAGTCGCAGCGCCAGACCCAGGGCCCCCGAGTGAGCGCGGGCGCCGAGGTGAGCAGCGAGCGCCGGGGCGCGGGGCCGCAGGGGACCGTACCGCGGGGCGGGGGCGGCGCGAGGTGTCGGGATCCCCGGCCCGGTGAGGAGTCGAGGCGGCTTCGGCGGGCGAGCGTGCGCGTTGGACAGAGATGTGGGGTCCTCGGGGTCATTGCTTTGTGTGGTGTGGGGGGTGCGCCAGGTCACCGGATGGCCGTCTGGGGAGCTGCAGGGTGGGGGCGCCCTGCGCCGCGGCTGAGGGAGGGTCTTCTGGAGGATGTGTGCGGCCAGCTGGGGTCCGGTGGGGACGTGGGGGCGCGAGAAGCGAGGGTCGATTGTGGCAGGGGGCTCTGCGTGCGCCGAGGCGTGCAGTGCTTGCGAGCGTGGGGTGGGGACGTGGGGGGCATTCGCGCGGCGCGGGAGGGGAGCTTTGTGAGTGCGTCCAGGGTGGGGGGCGGGGAGCTGACTTCTCCGTGCGTGACTGGGGGCTCGGCGTGGCCATGGCCTGGGAGTCAGGGCCGCGAAGGGCAGTAAGGGCCGTGCGTGGCGAGATGGGGCACGCGGGGCTCTCCGCGGTGTCCCCACCCGGGCAGCGGCGCTGGGGCCTGTGCGCAGGCCCGCCGCCGGGCAGGAAGCGGCCCCCAGCGAACCGGGGAGCTCCGTGGCGGCCAGATCTGGGGCGCGCGGGCCCTTCGGGGATGACGTCACGAGTGGGGGCACGCGAGCCTGGTGCCCCCCAGACAGCGGCGCGGCCAAGCCCCCGGCCCTATGGCTCTTTTCTGGGCTGGGCCGCTATGCCTTGTAGGCAGTGGACCCGGGAGGAGGACATGGGGGCAAATGTGGTGGAGGCAGAGGGGTGGCAGGACGCGGGGGTGACATTTGGAGCGTGGTCGCACCAGGAGCCTCCGAGGAGGGGCGGAGGGGAAGCGAAACACTAGCCAGGCCCGAGGTCGTTGCGGCCCCAGCTTCCTGGGGCGCCTGTTTTCCCAGCGAGCGGTTTCCCTTGAGGATCTTGGTCCTTCTCAGTTCCAAGCCAGAGGCCGGAGTGCGGGCCGGAGCCGTGCCCTCCTCCGAGGAGCCCTCGCTCCCGAGGGAGCGGCGGGGCTTTGGCTCTGAATGGAGAAAACCGAGTGTAACAATGCGCTATTGGGGGGCTGGGGGAGGGGAGGCAGCGCGCTTGAATGGCGGAGCCGGCCCCGCGCTTCCAGCACGCCTCACTCCCTCCTGCAGCGCCTTCCCCGTGGGTTCAGCGGGCCCTGATTCAGAGACCCACGCGGGACCTGCACTGTTCCCTCCCACCCAGAGTGCCCCCTCTTTATTTCTTTTCTAACGCAGCCGTGTATTGAGAATTCAAGGGCATTACATCTGGTTGCAATCCAGTTTCATGCCATTGCCGGGCTAAGACCTTGCGCTGACGTCAGAGCAGGGGAATTACTTCTTTTTATTTTATCTTTTTTTAGTTGTCTGCTGCCCTGGGAGGGGGGCGGGGTGGGCTAGGCGAGCTCTGATGTGGAGGCGCCAGCGCGATGGGAGCCCAGAGCTGGGGGCTCTGCTTCCCTTCCTGCCACCGCCCCCTCCATTCTCTGCACAGACCTCGCTCTGCTCAGGGTCAGGCCCACCCTGGGTGGGGGCCAGCCCTCGCTGCAGACTGAGTTGAGGCCCCTCCCGACTGACCACACAGCTGCGTTTTCAGAGGCTTCCCTGGGACGTGGCCCTCGGGATCTGGAAGCTGGAAGGTAATCTAGTTTCCCACCCCTCCCCCCTTGACAGCTTTCGGGGAGGCGGGGGGCTTATGGGGCCCAGGACCAGGAGCAAGGAGAGATGGCCTTTTAGGTGACACAGAAGCGAACACAGTCATTCTGATCTCCAGGCAGGCTCACTCCCGGAAGTCTGGCAAAAGCTCTCACAGTTAAAAAAGCCTTGGAGGGAAGGAGGATGTATCAAGGGTGATGCAGGCCCCAGAAGCCAACTGTGGAGTGGGCAAAATAGGACCTTTCCCAACAGCCACCCATCCCTCCTGCTTCTGCCAGATGGAGGGAAACTGCCTTTCTCTCCCACTGGTCCATGAGGCTCTTGTAGGCAGGGACCCTGTCTCACTCTTTAGACCCCGAAGCCTAGACTGATGGCTTTGCTTTCAAACTCCTACCAGTGACCTATAGTAAGAAATACAATTTAGGTCACAATACCATTCACACCCACTGTATATAACTGAAACAAAAGTTTAGTGAAATAATTCCTCTACTATGTCTGCTGGTCTCTGATATTTTCTGTTCTAGTCTGTTTGATTTTTTTTTTAGTTGCTGGTTTCAACCCACTAAATTTCACAGTCCACGAATGGGTTTGAAAAACAGGCCTTGGAAATGAATCTGTGATCTAGTCATTCAACAAACATTAATTGAGACCCTAACACTTCTTCTCTTTTTTAAGTACTCAAGTAACACATGGATATATTCTCATTGTGAAAAATGCAAATAACCCAGAAGTTTATAGAGTAAAAGTTCCCTTGGCACCTTCCCACAGGTTAACTATTTGAATGTATCCTCCCAGACTTTTTGCTAGGCACTTAATGTGTACATGCATCATATATACCAGTACAGACATAGCTTTTTTTTCCCCAAACAAGAATACACTGGTGGCTCTCACTCTGTGACTTCCTTTTTCCTCTCCATTTGTCTTCGAGAGGTTGTAGGGTGAGATGCTTCAGGACAAAGCTCTGGGTTGACTCTGAGCTCCACCACATTCACTGAATGAGTTGTTTACTTCTCTGTGCCTCAGTGTCCCCATCTGTACCATGGGAGAATAACACAATGGACCTCCCAGGACTGATGTGAAGATTTAATAAGTTAATGCATATAAGGTTTAGAACAGTGCTTCTCCCAATCAATGCGGGTTGCTATCTTTATCATATTATTCTTACTATTCTATTTCTGTGGCAGCCCACGTTTGTACCTCACGGCTTTTAACAGCTGCCTGTGGCCATGGCGTGTATGTGTCTTTTTCCTTTCCGGCCCAATGTGTGGCTCCACAGGGAGGGAGGAGGTGCATGTAACTGCAACGGTGTACACAGAGCAGTGTCTCTGTGGGAACAGTGTCCTGTGGGCGCTGGGCCCAAGGGAACAGGGATTTTCAAGGACCTACTGTTTCCATTGCCCTGTGTATAGTGCCAGGGTCCGAGCAGGAAACATCCCTGCGCCTGCCCCCCAAGAAGTCACAGCCAAGTGGGTGATTCGAGACCCAGATAATACCTCGGCCAGAGTTGGGTCTTGGCGGAGGTTGGGGCTTCGTGGAGAGGGGGCTCTGAGCAGGCGCTTCAGGCGTGGTTTGGTAGGAAGGAGCGTGGCGTTCCTGGCAAAGGGGGCTTAAGGAGGAGAGCAAGTCTTTGGAGGGTGGCAGGGATATGGCCTGTGCTGTGGCCGGGAGGGGAGGCCTGGGCTCAGAAAGAATGGTGGCAGAAGAGGCCAGGCTGTTGCCGGGGCATCCTCACTGGCCTCCCTGCCTCCATCCCACCCCCTCCCAGGACCCTTTGGGGCACCTGCTGGGCTCCTGCTGCCTTCTGAATAAGGGTCCCATCTGTAGTCCTCCCCTTGCTGCCCAGGTACCTTTCAGGTGTCCTTTGCTTGTTCTGCCATCATTCAAGCCTTGTTGCCTGCTGCCACAGCCCACCCCTCCTTCTCTAGGTGCTGTCATGTGCCTCCCTACCTCTGTGCACTTGCCTGGGCTGTTCCTCCCACCTGGATGCCCTCCACCTTCTTCCCTGCCTCCCAAGACCAAAACAGACATCCTGCCTCCTCCTCCTCTGACCTCCAAGGCAGAATGAGTCATCTCCCTTTGTCTATACCCCTGGCATGGCGTTTGTCATGGAATTATCGGCAGTTCTGTCAGTGTCTGGGCTCCCCACGAGGCTGAAGCATCTAGGCCTGAAAGCACGTCTACCTCTTCTCTCTGGCCCAGCGCCAAGGGCGAGGCCTAGAACACAGGGCGATCAGAAATGCTTCTTGGCGGAAGGGCCAGGTGAGGTGGAGTGGGTGAGAACCTGGACATTGCTTCCTGTGGGCCCCTTCAATCCTAGCAAGGGTGTGCACTCTTTGTGGGTTCTGTGCTGTCAGACTTCAGCAGAGTAGGGTGAGGGGATTGGGGAGCCAGGGCCAGCTTCCCCAGGCTGCTCCCTGAGGGGCCTGAGAGAAACTGGCTCATCCTGTTTCCCCAGGCACTGAGGCAGAGCTGTGCCCTGTTCCTGGTGGGTCACTGAGGATCTGAGATTGGAATGTGACACCAGGCAGGAGGGAGGCAGGACTGGAGGTGCAGGTTGCGGCTTGGCTGGCAAAAGACAGATTTTGCTCTACTGGTAATTGAATTCTGTGTGTGTGTGTGTGTGTGTGCGTGCAGGGGTACGACAGAGTTGGCGGGAGAGATGATGTAGGAGAAAAGGAAAGCTTGGGGGCAGAGAGGCAGGGTGGGGGGTAGGGAATATGGGGGTGGTCAGGGGTGCAGGGAGCGATGGAGGTGGGGGCGGAGGGAAGGAGAAAGGAAGATGTTCTCATTGCTGGACGATAAGCTTAGTACCAGGAGGGAAGGCAGCCAGGCACACCAGGGTTCTGTGATGGTGGATGTTTAGGCTTCGTCCGTTGGTTCAGCAGACATGCCCTGTGCTCACACCGGGCACCAGAGGTGAGCAGCCTGTGGTCCGGCCTTCAAGGCCCGTGAAGTCTAAGGGTCAGATGGGCGATGAGCACCCAGTTTTTGCACAGTGAGCAGGCTGTGGCAGAGAATGTGCCCAGTATGCTGGCAGGAGTGCGTCTTGAGAGGAGGGGCAAGGATGCAGTGGGGTACAGGGCAGGGCCGGGGGGCCGTTAGGAGTTGGGGTGGGAAGCCAGGGCTAGTGGGGTGTCTCCTCCCTCCTTTCTGGCCTCAGTCTCATCTGTAAGTTAGGGGAGGGTGGACTGCTTTCAGACAGATGGCCTGCGGGCCCATGTCCCTACTCCTTGGGAGTGAGGGCCTGGGGGACCCAGTGGAGAGGG